TCCGCAATCTACGTTGCTGAGCACCTAAGTCCTGAAAATAAGGCACTTCATGCCGCAGCCCGCACCAAGGCAAAAGAACTGAACTACAGGTACGTGATATGGTCGCAGTATTTTATTCCTACCTAAGAGTGTTAGTAAAGCGGCACGTTCCTAAATTTGTACCACGCAACAATCATAGCCCCATCTGGTTTTCAAGCATACTAATTAGAACGCTTAAAGAAAAACTTAAGTACAGGTCGAGATTTCGCAAATTCGGTAATCCCCGCGACGAATTAACCTTTGTGTTGCTCAGGAAACGCTGTTCTAAGTTATTACATCTAAATTATACCAGATACTTGGAGAATCTGGAGTCGTCTTTAGCATCTAACCCTAAGTTAATTTGGTCCTTTGTAAAGCATAAAAGAAGTGGAAAAATTACATTGCCCGGCGAAATGTCTCTTGACGACACTACAGCAACGAATGGATCTAGTATCTGTAATCTTTTTGCTGCCCATTTCTCCTCAGTCTATAATACGACCAGCATACACAGCTTTAATGAGTCTGTTGAGTCTTCAAATATGAATTTCTTGACATGCATTTCTGTCACCAAGTCTCAGATTTACAGGGTTTTAAAAAGACTTGATGTAAACAAGGGAGCGGGCTCAGATGGTTTACCGTCTATATTTGTTTCCAGGTGTGCTTACGCATTAAGCTCACCACTTTCAATTATTTTTAATAAATCTCTGAGCTCTGGTGTATTTCCTTTGGCTTGGAAACAATCACTGATTTTGCCGCTATTTAAGAGTGGTGACACCGGCATGGTGAAGAACTATAGGCCTATCTCCATTCTAACGGTTTTTGCTAAAGTTTTCGAAATGGTGTTATATCCCGTTTTGTCTTGGCATTTTAGACAGATTTTTGCTACGGAGCAGCATGGGTTCATTAAGGCAAGATCCACAACTACGAACTTGTTGTCTTTTGTCGAGGACTTGACTCAAGGTGTTGACCATGGAGATTCATTAGACACTATATACACAGACTTTAGTAAGGCCTTCGACAGAGTTAACCACAATTTACTGCTGTCGAAGCTGTCATCGTACGGGATTGCTGGTACACTTTTGCATTGGCTTCAATCATATTTAACGAACAGATCGTCCACGGTTGTTGCGGGGGGTCACTCGTCGATGTCCTTCCCAGTTTTGTCTGGGGTTCCCCAAGGCTCTCATTTGGGTCCTCTACTTTTTAATGCATTCATCAACGACATTGGCTCGTGTTTTCGTAGCACAAAGTTCTATATGTTCGCCGACGACTTAAAATTCTTCAGGAAAGTAAACTCATCTCTTGACTCTGAATTATTACAGATTTTTAACTCTCAGACACAGCCCACTGAGTTTCTCGCCGGATCTTCTCAGTGGGTCGCGTTTCCGATCCGGTGGTAGATTCTGCGAAGCACGACTCTTGCTAGGGTTCGTGTTAGCAACATCGTCAGGTTTGAGCCCCGTGAGCTCACCTACTAAAGTTAGGGCTACGCTGATATAGCCGCTAGGGCTATCAGCTTAGGTAGGAAAAAAACAAAAACACGAAAATAGCGCGGACGGAGGAGTATAAAATTTTCCACACTTATAGAGAATATAGAGAAGAAGTGCACAATGTTAATATTTTTTTAAATAATGCATAAAAGATACATTAAATAAATAAAAAAAACATTACACACACTACATACCATGTATTTGACGCACACACGCATGCAATACTATTTATTGTCAAACTTTTGTTCTTGGCGTCTGTTGTCAAATTGAGAATAGATTAAATATTGTTTGTCTTTGTTAATATTTTTTATAATGTAGTCTTGGCGAAATTTGTGATTACAGAAGTATAAAATACAATCATAATAGTGTACAAACTTACAATTCCAATTAATTATAGTCGAATTTCGACTACTGCGGGACTTCTAGTATATAATTATTGCAGAATGAGACTTATAGGAGAACTTGGAACCGTTTATGTTAGTAATAATTCGTTCAAATTTACGTACCTATCCACAGATATGGCGACCAGGTTGAATATGCTTGAAGTTGAGCAGGTGACATCCATCGCGATGTAGCAGTCACAGACGACGGCTGGCAGTCCCCAAACGCCGTTCAGCTGGTGAATAATAACGCGTGATTAGTAAACAAAATAACAATAAAGTTACTATTAACCAAGAGAACTGGTGGTACTGGTGGTAGGACCTTTTGTGAGTCCACGCGGGTAGGTACCACCACCCTGTCTATTTCTGCCGTGAAGTAATAATGCGTTTCGGTTTGAAGGGTGGGGCAGCCGTTGTAACTATAGTAGATGTCTATCGGCTCCAGTCACCACTTAACACCAGGTGGGCTGTGAGCTCGTCCACCCAAAAAAGCAATAAAAATAAAAAATTAAGAGAAGGCTGTGCTTCCATTGAGGTTCGTTTCCACTGTAACCAGGATCAGGGCAGCGATAAGCAGTGTGTGTCCATCTTATCCTTTTCTCGTTCTCTGATCTCCTCATTCCGATATAAACCAGTATTTGCTAGTGCAGTAAGCATAGCTTGGCCTATAACCCTAATGGGATCCTACCCAACCCAACCGTAGCCTTGGATCATATAGGATCTCGTGGGCCAAAAGTGCATTTTCCCTCGAGAATCTCCCGTTCTAATCTGAAATCTCGGTGCTGGTGGCAAGGTACATTGTTAACCCACTCGGGTTGGTAGATTCAGCTGCATTAAAGGATGGTGATGGTATTTCTGCCATAAAGCAATCACGTGTCATGTTCTAAGGATGTTAAATCTTAAAGTATTATAATTTTGCGATGTCTTTAAGCTTTGGTTACTTTGCCCACTTAGAGTAGGAAAAAACTTCATCTAACTTTTTAATAACAGCTATTTTCACAA